CCTATATATAGTGTAGCGTCATGATGTTATAACCGTTGACGCTAACATGCTTATATATACACGAATAACTTCGATCCATTCGATGTGTCAGAAAATGTGCTGAGCCATAATAAAGATTATGAAAATCAAGGCCAATTTAAAGTCACAGCTATTCTTCAAGCCAACATGATATATGTTGTAGTAATGACAACATCGTCTCCGAATTTGATAGGGAACTTTTCCATTCAAGTATTCGGTCCAAGTTATATTGGTTTCAATCGTATTCGTGAGTATTTATAGTGTTTAAATAGATAATCAGCTGCACTTATTCATTATCGATAGAAAATTGAGATAAACTAAATCTATAAAATGATACGCAGATATTTCTATTCGATAGAGACTAAAATTCATATCACTTCCAGTAAATGTATCTGAGAGAGAAAATAAAATTTCAAATTATTTATATTTATTTTTATTTGATATAAAATTAAATCGATTTTCTTTTTCGTTAGTGAATACTTCAACAGTTGTTCAAACAGTTTATACATCAGAATTTACAACGAATAATCCAACGTATTTTCGTGTTTGTTCCGAATCAAGTTCTTACTATGACGCCATACAAGTGAATGTTCATAGAAGTGGTCTTTACACTTTCCTCAGCAAAAGCAATATAGATACATACGGCTCAATTTACAAAGAACATTTTAATCCGTCGAATCCAATGAAAAATCAACTCTTATACAATGATGAAAGCTGCAATCAAAAAGATTTTAAACTTATAACTGATCTTGAGAGTAGTACTACATATATACTGGTTGTGACAACGTTTTCTTCGATAACACATGCATTCTCAATCTTTGCATCGGGTCCAGACAATATTGATTTCAAGAATATTACTAAATGTATGTAGTAAAACTATTAAATGAATATTTACCATCGTTAACATGAGAATTTAGTTGAGTTTAGCATATTGATAGATAAAGACTTGTTTTATAATACGATATTTTTACTATAAGAAGAAAGGTTTATACAAACAGTTGTATTGAACTCATCAAATAACATAATATTACGAATCGGATAGGAAAATCTCCTTGAATGCATATAGTATATTTATCTCACACCAAGATCCGATATCACAAAGTGTTTTCTATCATCTAGAAAATGAGATTATAGTAATTTTCATTTGCCTTCGATGTGTTCACTCGGGATAGAGAATAAAATTGAATTTATTTTATTTTATGTTAGTGAATACTTCATCAATTGTTCAAACAGTTTATGTATCAAAATTGTCAACGAACAGTTCAAGGTATTTCCGTAGTTGTTCTCGGCCAAGTTCTTACTATGAAGCAATACAAGTGAATGTTCGTAGAAGTGGTCTTTACACTTTTCATAGCAAAAGTAATATGGACACAAACGGCTCAATTTACAAAGAACATTTTAATCCGTCTAATCCAATGGAAAATCAACTCTTATACAGTAATGAAAGCTGTCAGCAACGTCATTTTAGACTCACAATTACTCTTGAGATTAGCATTACATATATATTGGTTGTGTCAACACTTTTTTCAAATGTAACAGGTGAATTCTTAATCTTTGTATCTGGTCCAGACAAGGTTGATCTCAAGAATATGAGTAAGTATTTGCACTACATCTATTCCATTGAGAGTGATACTACAAAGAACTGTGTCTTTAAACATAAAGACTTGACATCATCTTGTTCTTTTATATTCAGGATGTCGAAGGGATGATTCATAATACTCAGTCTTACTTTCACCAGCGCAAGATTTCTCTTCCTTTAAGTCAACCAACCTCTATCATGAATCTTCACTACTTTCTTAATTTCATTACATAGACTTTACATCAGTCATCGAAATACCATATTCGTCAACTGCACAATCGAAGTATTTATCAGAGCTAACTACGAATAGTCAAACATATTCTCGAGATTGTCGAAAATCAAATTATTACTATCAAACTATACAAATGTATGTAGAGGAAACTGGATACTATGCTCTAAGTAGCGATAGCAGTATGGATACATTTGGTGATATTTATGAAGATGATTTTAACCCAATGAATCCTTTTGAGAATCTACTCTCACAGGACTATCGAAGCTGTAGTTATGAAGATTTCAAGTTCATCGTTTATCTTCACACTGGCACTAAATATATATTAGTGGTGACAACATCTTCTCCAAATATAACAGGAAACTTTTCCATTCTAACATCTGGCTCAAAGAACATCACTCTTAATCCTTACAGTAAGTAATTTGCAAATCATTAACATAGAAATTTAACATTCCACTAAAGTCGATTTTCACTCTTTAGTGATTTCATACGATCTGTGATATTATTAGTTGACAGTCTTTGAAAATCGATCAGGTCTATCTCTAGAAACATTTTTATAAGAATGAGTGAATGCATCATAAAATATTGAGATTTCATCTCGACATGACATGTCATTTAAAGGCAAATGACTTTCATAAATTATTGTTGCTTATAAATTTACGCTGATATAAGTTTGTTAAGTTGCGAAAATTTCATCTAATCTCATGATGATCATGTATTTCTTTCTTCAGCTCATGTTTTGACCAATTGTTTCATCGGCCAAAAATGTCAGTTCTACAAGAAAAGCATTGGTATCATTCTCGATGATATTTTACGTGATGAAATTCAACCGAATATGACAATGACTGATCAAACAATATTGGTGAAAATCAATGCTGCTCTAATAATGATTATGTTTGTTGGAGGTTTAATTAATAGTATTTTGTCTATAATAACATTTCAAAGTAAAGATCTTCGGCAAGTTGGATGTGGCATCTATCTCTTAGCATCATCAATTACTTCTTTTCTTACAATCAGCATGTTAACAGTGAAGTTTTGGTTTGTTGTTCTCACTCAAATGAATCTATCGATTCGTGTTTCTGTTCTTCGAGATGGTTGTGTATCGATTGAACCATTTCTCAAGCTTTGTTTCTATGTAGATGCTTGGCTCAATGCTTGTGTGGCTGTTGAAAGAGCAATTCTCGTTTTCAAAGGAATCAAATTCAATAAACAAAACAGTCAACGTATTGCTCGATGGATAATTCTTATCTTACCATTCTGTGTCATGATTTCGATCATTCACGAACCTATATACCGAGAATTGTATGAGGTAAATACAGAGACAAGCAAAGCGGATATCGATAAATGGTGTGTAACTCGTTATTCTCCTTTTGTTCAACAATATAATACAATCATCTTATTTTTTCATCTTGTCGCTCCATGTATTGTCAATCTCTGTTCTGCTCTTTTGATCATATTCAGATCAGCCCGACAACGATCAACAGCTCAGACAAGACGAACTCTGAAAGAACATATTTACAATCAACTTAGTGAACACAAACAATTATTAATCAGTCCGATCATTCTTTTAGTTCTGTCCTTACCCCGTCTGATTATGTCAATGTTATCAGAATGTGTCAATCCATCAAATCATCGATTATTATTTATTTTTGGTTATTTCATTTCATTTACTCCATCAATGCTTATCTTTATTGTTTTTGTCCTTCCTTCAGAATTGTACAGAAAAACATTTCAAGATTCATTCAGACGATGGCGACGACTCATCCGTCAATAACCCATGCTTCTTCATTATTTCAAAACTTTTCTAATTTATTGATATAGTATTCTGGTGTGGGTATATCTGAAATGTAATATCCGAATCCACACCCACACCCACACCCTTATTTTCTATCGTACGTATCTCAAACGTAGTAGATATTAAATACTGTAATAAAGATGAAAGATTCTTTGGAGTTTTTTAATATTAAAAACATGAGCAAACTAGGTAAACAAGAACTAATTGCACATAAAATTTTCCTCTCTACTCTTCATATAACCATTTTGTCTATACTTATTTTTTTTCTTTTTTTAATGTGCTTTAATTGCATCCCTGAGAGCCAGATGAGCACTCGGTATACTAATGGCAATAAAGGTGATAAGGTTTTTTTTTTCTCTATTTATATTGTTAATTAATATTTAAGTATCATGTTCTTTTTCTCTATATTATCATACATGCACATTCAAGTCTTACATTAGTGAGTATAATAAAAGAAAAAGAAATTCTCTGCTTCAATTTTAGTTGGACTTCATTTTATTAATCTGAACTCTTATTGATAATGAGTTACATAAGATTTTATCAAATACTTCTGTTATTTCTTATTATCCAATCAAGCACAGAAGATGCACACTCATTTATAATGTTAATAATCAATGGTAGTAAATATAGTTGCACTAGCACAACTTGTTTACCATTCATCATCAGCATTGTATCAAACATTCTCAATTGTCAAATAGCTTGTTTAGCTCAAACTCAATGTCTTGCAGCTAGTTTTCATGAATCGACTTTGACATGTGAATTATTTGCAAATGTATCGAATCTAACTGAGAACATGCTTCCTGATGCGGATATTACTACAATGATTGTCCAATATAAAACACGAATACCACAAGGTCAGTGTAAAGACGTTAGTAATCCTCCTACATCAATGAGTGGAGAGGGTGAACTCGAATGATAATATCACATTCATCGCTCATAAAGATATTCAGAAGAAACACAAATTGACCAAGATTTAATATAGAATTTCTTTATTTCATTTTATAGTTTTTGAGTCTGAAGCCACAACAATACAGACAAGTACAGCAGCAATGTCGACTATCAGTGCTTGTATCAACATGACAACACCAGCGGGACGAGGTATAAAGAGTTATCTATTCACTTACAAATCTTTGCTGTTCTTTTATCATAGCTCCAACTATTGGATGGGATTTTGAAGGAAATTTAAATGATCGTTTTCTCATTTATAACGGTACAGATGGAAATAAATCAACATATGCATTAGGACGAACTAGTTGTAGGAAGTGTCTAAATCTCACAAGTTCGCTGAACCAATCAGTTTATATTAATGCTACACCATATATTGACTTACGTTATATTTCTTTCTCAGTAGAAACTTGGATTAAACCAACGATTGTTACTGATGGTATCGAACATGTCATTTTTGGCCAATGTGGATCACTAGCCGGGTATTCATGTATGCGTGTTTCGATCGGTAATCCTGGTTCCATGACCTTTCTATTTCGTAGTGATACCCAGACAGGTTTACACAATGTATCAATCAATGTCTGGTCACATTTAGCTTACGTTTATAATAAGACAGCAGGAACAATGTCACTCTACTTGAATGGAACTCTCGACACGTCCGGTGGTAGTCATGGACCGTACTATGGATCACCCACTTTTTTCCAAATTGGAAATATTGATATGATTGGCAGCATTTACTATGATGGGTGTATTGATGACATATTTTTTTATCCTTTTGCTCGTACTGCTAGTGAAATAGCAGCTACTTTTGCATTGGGATAAAGAATGAGTGTGGATGCGTGTAAAATACTATTTATTAACAGTAAATCATCCCAGAGAAATACATAAAATAATTGTCATGAACAAGATAACTCATCAATAATACTGATTCATTTTTTTTTGTTGATATTTGCTAAATCTATTTCAAGTACTTGATTGTTAGTATTAATAGAAAAATGTATTTAATCAATAAGATTTGCTCTTAGATTAAATGTAAATATGAAGTGCTGTTGTGTTTTGCAAATATTATAATCAAAGAAGAAAAAAAATTCTCATTAAAAAAACATTAAATATATTTTGTTTATAAAGTTCCATTTAGACATTTGATAATTGTTGTATTATCAATTCCTGCACCAGTTAGTATTGCTACAACTTTGATAGGTTCATCTCCTGGTTTTCTTCTTAGTCCAGCTTTATTATTTTCTAATAATCTTTGGTAATGCCATAATATGGCTGCCAATGCAGTTGCACTCGCTCCTTCACATATTAAATGATTTCTCTCAATTAATAATTTCAATGCATCAGCTGTTTCTTTCAAGGTAACTACAATTGAACCATCGATAGAATCCTTGACTAATGGCCACATTTCTTTCATCACATTTGCATGTCCAATGGCATCAATCCATGATTTTTTAATTGGAATTTTAACGATCTCATTAGCATTTAAAGCAGCAGAGAGAGGTGCAGCTGTTTCAGCTTCACAAGCAAAAATATCAACAGATTCTTTCAAATGTTTCACTGCAGATACAATACCAGTTATTAATCCACCACCACCATATGGAACTAAAGAAAATTGAAGAATTATAGTTAAAGATATGTTAGTATTAAACTTATTTGCATGATGAACGGATACAAAATTAGATCCAAGTGAAAGGACTATTAACAAATCTGATAGAATAATTCTAGTTCTTTAATTAGTATCTATTCTAACAGTTGAGGGTTATTATTTTTTAAAGTAAATTTCATGTCATAAAGATATTTTTGAAGTTGTTGAAGACAGACTTACCAAATATTGCATCACATTCGGGTAATTCATCTAATATTTCCAGTGCAATAGTTCCATGTCCAGCCATAACATGCCGATTACGTACAGGATGAATGAAATAACCATCTAACATTGGACACTGACCGTTTATAATTACTTGAAACCATTCATCGAAAGAACATTTAGTAATTTCACCTCCAAGTCGTTCAATAGCTTTTAATTTTACTTCATTTGTTGTGTCAGGTACTAAAATTTTACATTTAATATTTTCTTCTCTGGCAATCCAAGATAAACCTTGTGCCATATTACCAGAAGACGCTGTAACAATTCCATTTTCTTTTTCTTTTGCCGTTAACATTTTAACAATATTGCTTGCACCACGTACTTTGAATGATGATGTCAATTGAAATTGTTCACATTTTAGATAGATTTCTATTCCAGGCATATCATAATTAAGTTTAAGTAATGGAGTACGAATAATAATATTCTTCAAACAGGATTCTGCTGCACGAATATCATCGAACGACGGAGCAGTTAGAGGAACTGACATTATAACCTTATATAATAAAAGAAAAATTACACAAATAAATCTAAGGTATGATGATACTTTTTTAAATATATTAAGTCACATATATATGTACGTTATCTTACCTCTTTGTGACTTTGTTTTATATTCAAACAAAAAATGTAATTTAATATAAAACACAGAATACTCGCCCAACACTGAAAAAGCTAATAAAGCGTCAATATGTCATTAAAAAATCTTTCTATTGAATCAAAAATAGAAAGTACAAGACTGATGATTAAAAACTTATTTTCAATTGCGATAAATATTTTTTGCACATTAAAACTCGAGAACCTATATGCTTGTTTTAAGTAAAATACAAAACAAAACGTTCAGAAGGCTTTTTTGTTTTGTAATAAATCATTTTATCGAGATATGAAATTTCATCAAAATATATACTCAATTTCTATACAACACAACTCAGCATATTTTCACGTTAGTTACGTATTTATTGCAGCAGCACTGCTGCATATAAATTCGAAAGAACAAAAAAGAAAAAAAATATACCTTATCAATTTTCATTGTCAAATAAAAGATAAGCATTTTTTTATTCTTTTTTTCACCTTCTTAACAATTAACATAAATAAAGAAAAAGCTTCTATGTACACCCACAACGGGTATGATTATCTGAATATTTCTCGACTTTTCATTTTGTTGATTTGAGACTACATATCAGTGCATGATTAACACTTCCCTTCTCCTAGTATTACGTGACAATTTTTAAAATAGAACTCAATCAAAGAAAACCTTTTTGAGTATGAATCTAAGCGATCATTTTGATTTATAAATGGACATCTCCTGCTGAAATATTTTACAATATATTTTTACTGTAAATAATTGAAAGAATAGTAATATATTTGTATAATATTATGTCCTTTGGCCAATTCAATTTCCATATACTTCGAATTCAAAAATTGAGTATCCATAAGTAGTTGCTCGTTGCGTAGCGTAAATCCGGATGTAACGAGCATTTCTGTTTAAACCTGTATGATCATTGATAAGAGCGACATTATTGGTCACAGTTCTTATATTTGCCCATGATCTTGCATCGTCAGAAGATTCCAAATAATAGTTCTTTGCACAAGCGGCCTCCCATGCAATTCTCACACGGTTCACAGCGTATCTTGCGCCAAGATCCACATAGATCCATTGTGTATCACTACTAGTACTTGCCCAACGTGTATTTCCGTCGGCATCGACTGCTTTGTCTGCTGTATTTGCTGTATTTTCAGTTGATGAAGCAGTAACTGGTTTACGATAGGCAATGTTAGGTGCTAAATTTACAGTACTTGCACCGGTTCGAATGAATTCCAAGATTTTCGAACGTGTTGGACTACTAGCATCACCCAAACCATCTCGCATACCTCCATGATCTTTTCCAAGATTAGTATAAATAAAAAGGTTTGTACTGCCCTTGCTTATTAGTTGATTATAGTATGCATAGTTATCCGTTATAGTCTGACCTTCATACTCGCCAACAAAGATATGAATTGGTTTTTCTGTTTTCTTAACATGACCGAATGGCATTGCATCAGTACGGACGGTCATTAGTTGATTTTGTTGAATACCAAGATCTGCAGCAACTGTTCCGTGCGTCCGAGTTTGACCACTGATTGCTATGTATCCTTTTATTCGATTACGATCAAAGCTAATTTCTGTATACCACTTTGAATCAATGCTTAACATATGAGTAAGATAAGCGCCTGCAGAGAAACCCATGACAAAAATATTATTAGGATCACCACCGTACTGAGCAATATTATTGGCTACCCAAGCAACAGATGCAGCGGCATCTTGAATATACACTGGCCATTTTGTTCCTTGCTGTCCACTCAATCGATAATTGACCATGACCATAGAAACACCAGCTTCTAGGAACTTAAATCCAAAATTATTACTCCAATCTGCCCATCCTTCGCTCTTATCGCCTGCATTCAAGCCTCCACCATAAAAATAGACGATAACTGGAAATGATGCTGTACCACTTGATCTCGGAATATAAATATCAAGTTTGCAACGTTCTTTTTCATAGTTGGAAAGATTATTTCCTGATTTATAAGGCACATTGCTGTATCGTGTTCCAGAAACAGAGCCGTGACTTACTGTTTCTTGTGCTAAAATAGAAAAACTTTCAATAATTCCATGATTTTTTAAAGTATCGTTTATCCGAGAATGAGTCGTGAAAGTGTGGGGGTGATATTGAATGTATCTGTATAAGTTCTGAGATTCAGTTAAAAAAGAAAAGTTTTCTATAATCAAAGCAGTACTAACGAATCATTGTTTAGTATGTTTTTATAAACTAATAAGCACTATTAACGATTTAGAGATTACGTACCTGCAGCTATCAAAAATAGCAAGAGAAACGCGATGATGCACAAAGAAATCTTCATCAAGTTGATCGTGTGTTAGTCAGATTAGTTACTAATAAATAATAAACCTTTGCCAATTGCCGTTTTCATGAGAATAAATAAGAATAAAACAGACTGCGAATTCTCATAAGTAACGAGAAAAACAAAACAACACACATCTGGCGATTTTCTCAACAAAATATTCATCCAAAATCGACGTTATCGAAAAGGCTATATTTATCAAGCCATATAAGCAATAAAAGTACTTTTAAAATCAGATCCCATAATGATGCCCCGATTACGGGGTGGGTGTTGATGCTCGGTGAATACAGTATCCATACACACCCTCAAGATGGATTATTTTTCTTTCTTTATTTAAAAAAGAATACTTTTTATTATTATGGTTAGTAACACGATACAAAAATCGAGAAAACAAAAAATAAAAATAAAGGTAAAAATATTAGTAAGAAATTAATGCAAAAAGAAATAAAAAAAAACAGAAATTGAAGTTTGTTTTGAGTCTATGATAGTGTTGTAGTGAAAAAGTTGTCGTTGTCAATCGTTTCAATCTTCTACCGGAACATGTTCTCCACAACTGGAACTAGTATCAGTAACAAATTTGCCATCACATTTAGAAGAATCAGCAGAATAGAAATTAAAATTTTCACCATTATTAGGAGTACTACAAAAGCCACTAGTACTATCAGAAATACAAGCAGTGCACGTTTTAGAACAACAAATATCAGCATTGCAATCTGGTACTAAAATTCAAATCAAATAATCAATTAGTTGTAAAAGTTTCTGTTTGAGAGTATTAGCCTGAAGCACGAGTGTGTATGATTTTCTTGCATTGAACTATGCTAAATACCAACCATTTTAAGGTTAAGAATGAAGGGAGATCTATCACTTTCGTTCCTCACACCTTCTTTTATAAGTTCATATAAAATGAACAGGATACTACCTCTGCTCTTGTATTCAACTCAGGAGCTGTAACCTTCATAGATATAACGAATGGAAGAAAACGACTAGGAATTTTAAGAAAGGATGAAAATCAAAAAGTAATTCAATGAAATTTTGCAATGCCTAACCTATTTTCTGTCAAATGATATATTTCATCGAGATCAAGATAATACACGAAAAAGTCTTCGGAATATAAAAAGTTATGTTCCGAAAAGATAATTACCCTTTGTGTAATGTCATACAAGAATTTTTGGAAGATTGCTATAACTTGAATTAATAGAAATAAAAGTGTCTACCGACTGTTGCAAAAAAGTTTATTTTTGTTTTAATATGCGTTCAAAATTATTTATATATATATTTAAAAGTATGGTATTTTCGTTCAGGATTTTGTTTCTTAAAATTTTAGGACCGCGATTTCTCATTCTAAAGCTGATCATTCTTGTGTCTACTTGCAGACGATTAGACGACTAAAAAGAATAGTGTGAACGTTTTGATGCATTAATCGAAATAGTTATATTTGGGAGGGACATCTATTAAACGAGATAGGAAGTGAACAATCAGTGGTCCTAGCTGCACATTTTTTCTTGTTTCTGGATGGATAGGGATAGAGGTAGGTATGCTAAATAGTCTCAAATCAGCGGATGTAAGCCTTTATACATATTACCATCTATCAAAACGTTACACATCAATTAGAAAGCCTACATATTATAGGTGTTGTAACCGTTGTTGTTGTGGTTGTTGTTGTTGTTGTAGTTGTTGTTGTTGTTGTTGTTGTTGTTGTTGTTGTTGTTGTTGTTGTTGCTGTAGTTGTGGTTGTAGTTGTAGTTGTGATTGTAGTTGTTGGTCGTGTTGTAGTTGTGGTCGTAGTTGTTGTTCGTGTCGTTGTTTTTGTTGTAGTTGTTGTTGATGTTGTTGTCGGTGTTATACTTGTTATAGTTGTAGTTGGTATATTCGATAGTGTCGTTGGTGACGTAGTCGAAACTAAAAAAATAATTTCTCTTTCAAAAAAACGGATCTTGAGAAGTGATCTCTGTTTATATCGAACTTGAAATATAAAAGATAGCTATATTAAATGTTTTAATATCTCATATGAATTATTCAGTTGAGAAAGAATGATGACAGGCTCAATACGAGGTTCAGCAGCCAAATCCTCTAGAAATAATTCAACATTAAGCTATATTACATGTAGTACCTTCGATCGTTTTCTGAAGGAATCTATATTTGTTTTCGGAATACAACGCTTGAAGATTATAGAGTAGGATTTTATGAAACCAATCTACTTTATCAATTAATAACAGCTATCGGAAGTGCTGAGAAGTTCATCGATTTCGTAAGCATTTGTATTTCTATTAACGCTGGATAAAACTATATTGGAAAATATTTTCTATTGAAATATAAATTCAATGTGTGTGCTAGTCTGGATGCTAATCTTTTATTCATTCACATCTACATCTATGAGGCAATAATTTCAGATGCTTGAATGCTGTTAAGTACAAATATTGCTCATACATACGATATGTATAGACTATAATAAGGATACTGTAATAACACTGCTCTTAATAAAATACCAATGCTTTTTGCACTAAAATAGTTTTTTTTACATCGAATACAAAAATATTAAAATTAGTATTTGCTGATGCAGCGTTGATGATAAGCTAACACCCCTACACTAAATAAATCAGAAAATAAAGCAGGTGAAGTAGTGTTTTGGTTGAGACATCAACTTTTTAATGTAATTATACCAGAGCGTTCTACTTTTCTAATAACAAGGTAACTGCGAGACATCACTTTAACAAAATGTCATAATTCTCTTGAAATAGCGTTGTCAAATATTTTCTCTTATGTACTCTTAGACCTTGTGAAAAACTAACATTCAATTCTGTCTAACTATCCGAAATGGAAAGTTGCATTTCTCAATTTAAAGCTGATCTTAAAATCAAAATATGTTTACAATTCTTTCAAGAAACATAATTCCACTGTATAAAAACGATATTTAAAGAAATATAGATCGATTTAAACAGAGAAAGAACTAGAATATAGTACAAAATAAAGAAACGATAAAATTTCACTTTGCACTATATGATTTTAGTATTTGTCTTCATATTCTGAATTAATATTAACATTATCAGAAGATATTGGTTTCGATTTAACTCTCTTACCTGAAACGACTTGACCAAACGTGCAAAACTGACATGAGGCTGTACGTGATCCTAAATTTGTTTTAATAGTGAACGAAATTCTAGTCGATCCAAATTTAGATTGTATGGCATTCTTTATATCAGGTGTACATTGTGTAATACAATGATAAGTTCTGCAGTCTGTTTTAGGACACTTGCTAATCGTGACTATGATACGAAGATTATTACCGTTACTCATATTAGAACCTGCTGCAACTGTATTACACGATGCTGTGCCTCTAAACGAATAAACAATATGTAAAGTATTTTATTTAACTAAGAAGGTCTTAAAGTAACTGACCTTGATTGCCGTCTTCGCTTTGTGGTGCTTGCAATACTACCAGTGTTCAATGTAATCGATTTGACAGTGAGCACGTTAGTCGTATACCCCATCTTTTCGTTAAACTGCAGAATAAAAATACTTGTATTGCATACTATATTAGAAAAAAGTACAAACATACTTGACTGGTAAGTGAATCATCATTAATAATTGATTCTCCAGTACTAATACTCAAATCAGTTATAAATAACATATCGAGAGTTGCAGCTATTAAAAAACATAAAAGTAGAATGAAACTTGGTGGAAATAATATTCTCTTTACTATTAGTCATCACAAAACCAATTTCTTTCTTCAATAAGTATAACGGAATCAATGAAATAACTATTGTAAGAGCAATGGCGAATAAAATGGTAAAAGCTATACGTTTATATGCCATAGGTAACCTTGTTGGTGTTTATCTAAAAAAAGACAGAGTATGAGAAAAACAATTATCAATCATAGATTCATATCTGGTTTCTGCCGCTATACGGTCAGTATCGACTTGAAAACTTTGAAAGCCAAAAACCCCATATAACAATATTAAGCCAAATCAATGAATCCAAGGGATCAGAAGTTTATAATTAAATTTGAGTAAAGCAATGAAAAATCGAAGAAAAGACATTGAGTTATTTTAAATAGATGTGTATCTATAAGTTGCTTCATTCGACATTACATATCAATTGATATTCAACTATTTCAAAAATAAATAAAAACAATCAAATAAAGATTTTATCCTAGGAAACCAGCCAAACAATAACTATAAATTTATATAATCATAATTACCAATTATAATTTTATAAAACTAAATCTAAATCCATTCTTAACACACTGGGCAATGTTGTATGCTGAATGTCTGATGTATTTGAGCGCTTATTTCCCTTACTCTTCAATTCGACTACAAAAAAAAACTTAAACAAATAGCGTACCTTTTATTTGTTGTATATATTATGTTTGTATTTCACATGAATGACAAAAACAATAGTGTACGTGTGTTATATACGGCTAACACTTTGCCTCCTGCCTTGTTATATTTTATCTTCTTCTCGCACCATCGATTTTATTTTCTTCTTCTCGCTTCATTGATTTTTTCTTTATATCAGTTCTCCTAATTACCTTATTATTTTTTACTGCCCTATTACTCACCTTTTTGCGCACCATTAGCCATTCTTTATCATGGTTCTATTCCATAAATAACCCAACGTATAATTGGCGCTATCAACATGTGCAATTTCAACGTCATATTTACAATGTTTTTCTCATAAATCATCAACAACAATGCCAAAATCAGCTAAATAATCGAAAACTATTATTAAGACTATGATAGAGTGACAAATATCAAATTGGTATTAATTTCTAAGTCTGTGTGTCAAAACTTTTAGAATTTCTACAAATTGAATAGATATATACAAAGTTTCGTTAATATAATTCTTATTAAGTATTATTCTGAATTCTACTATTTGAAATCATTCAGAGCCGGTGGAACATTTTGAAGTTGGGTGATATTCAGTGAAAATCTATATACTATGTAAAAATAATAGATAAACAATGATCAAGTCATGGTTAAGACATAGAAGCTCCAAATACACTTTTTAATCGATTTAACGTATTGAATGTACATTACGTAGTAGCAGTCGTAATCGGAATTATTAAATAAAGCTTAATCAATTTATGATATTTTTTAAACATTTCTTTATCAATCGAGCATGCATTTAAAACTTCAGTGTTGACATTTTTGGATTAGATGTCTGATTCGAGTTTGTATATCAACGGACATTCTCCATAGCTATATTCACTGCTTTATATATACATATGAATAAATAAAATTGAATCTATTTCTATCTATATCTAATTTAACTGGAATATGTATGTAGATATTTATATTCGAACATGAATTAGGTATCTTATGAATATTTGTTTATTTGATAATGTCATGTTCAAAAATACGATTTTGTTTTATTCTAGATATATTATTTTCTCAATAGGAACAATAAAAATAGATATGAATATTGAAGCAGCATCACTTATCTCGCTTTGAAAATCTTTATAGGAAATTGTTTTTTAACAACAAATATTTAAAGTATTCGATGACGATTCTTTATAGCATGACTACTTCATGATGATTTTCAAAAATGTCTGCTTGACGTAGAAGATTTGTCGAACATATATTTTAACTAAATAATTTTTTGTCACATTGACTTCTATTATGAAATTTATTTTTAAAGATAAAAAAGACTTGTAAACGTAATTACTTTTCATTAAATAAATAAAAACTTAAATTTCTATTTTTATTTTATTAATTTATAGAAACTAGTTCGTATCATATTCAATAAAATATATTTTTGAAAAAAAGAATGTAAGTGAAAATGAAGATATACTACTCATTGTTGACATCGTAATAATAATTAGATAAAATAGAATAGTTAATATAAAACTGTTACGATCAAATATTATATATTATTAATGATTAGATCTATTAAATCAATATAATATATTTCGAATTGAATTTATCTAGCCTACATGCTCCATAAAAATTCAAAAGTAATTATTTAGTTTTTCGTCATAAATAATTCTACTATGAATGAGTTTGAATTAAATGGCGATAATAATAATAATAATAATAAGATGTTTATATTATAAAATCATCATATATTTCATGTGGTATAAGAAACTGTTGATAAATGAATGATATTTGTTGTTTATCTTTTTTTTCGAATTTTATAAACTAATTGTTTAATTTTGTTTATAATGATTCAATTATATTTCTTAGAAATAATTAAGTACCATGGAGAGCCTATAATAAGTTAAAATGTTTTTTGATTGCTTCTTGGCTAAGATATTTGAGTTGGAAAATGGAAAGTTCCAGAAAAGTGTGTGTGTGTGTCTTTTTCTTTTCTAGAAACCGTTGTATTATATAACACAATTAATTTCTACAAATTGAAGTGACTTTCAGAAATTCATTTAGTTTAATTGCACTTAGAGTTTTTTTGTATACCAATAGGATGAATCAAATAAAATATGCCCTCTGTATGTCTTTCGCTGTCAGTGCCATTGAGAGAGACGCTGAGTGATATATATTTCGGCATCATTGGACCAGTCAATTCGCTTTTGGAACGATATTTGATTTTCCGGAAACTCATCTAGTTTTCTTAGTTTATAATTTCCTGAAAACTAATAGGATGCATTATACGAACACTGAAAAAATTTCATTGTGAGAAGATTATACTTTTATGCAGGAAGACAATTTAAATATGATATTTGATCCAATATGCGTATAATAAATAAATGGGATATACAAAGCGGAATTTTATATAAATATGGAAGTTTTCCATCTTAGATAATCATTGTCAACTAAAAAAAATACATAAACAAGATACAAATTATGTCATGAATAAACGAGACGTTAAACAGTAAAATTAATAACAATAATAAACTGAACAATTGACAATTTGTCATTAGTAATAAACTCAGTTGCATCAGTTAAATTTTAATAAATTTATTCCAGACGTCTATATACTTTCTGATTATTAGCACTCACGTATGAAATTCTATTGAATAGAACGATAATTATGTACGAAAATAATTTAAACATAAGATTTGATTCAAAGTCTAATAAATAAATAACTGAAAGAAAGTATATAGACGTTTGAAATAAATTCATTACTTTCTACAGCTCATTTTTATGTCATTGAAGATGAGAATAGGTAATTTTTTATCCTTACTGTCTTATCACAATGAAAAGACTTCGTTCAAATCTAATCATAGAAGTGACATTGATGATTCGTATAAGTTATTTCCATGATGAAATCAACATAATTTCAAGTGAATTAGTGTTAAAGAGAAAAGGTTTAGGAGTTTAACATAAAATAAAATATAAAATATGATTATTATTCATCTAAAAAGTGAATTGAATTTAATTAAGAAAAAACAATTCATTATTTATTAATTCTTTTCATGAAATATTTCAGAAGATAAGATTTCTATATTTTAACAGCGACATGAAGAATATGTAATCTCATCTATAGATAATTAGTTAAATCTTATATAAAAAAAAACGACATATGGAACATTTGAGATTAGTTTTTTGATAAATTCAAACATAAATAAATAAGAGAAAAAGAATGAAGAAGAATATAAAGTAATGTGTAAATATGCGAGTTAAGTTTGTTGATGACTTGAGAAGAGTTTGAACAAGAACAAAAAAAATGTCATGCGTAAAGTATATGTTCGTGATTATTTTAATTAGAAAAAAAATAGAAAATAGAAATGAAATGTCTGAGATAATATATCAACACTGAATAAATGTTATTTTCTATAGAAAAAAAAAATCTTTTTGTTATGTTTAATAAGATTACTTCTTTTTCTTTCTTATTTAAGAAAAGAATCACAAATGAGTTTTTTTTTCTTCTTGTCATAAATATCTTTTATTCATTATTTGTTTAACAATATTTTTCTTTTAGATTTAAATAAAATGAGTTTACCATTATATTGTATTGATAAAGATGCAGTTTTAAAAGATGTCTCAACTGATATTAAATGGAGAAATGGAATTCCAAATTATACAAAAGCAAATTCACTTTTTGAAAAATATAAATCAACTAATCATCAACCAGGTTCAATGATATCTATTGTTGAAAATATTATTAAAAATTGGGAAAAAGGTTTGTTTGTATTTATTTATTAGTTTTTAAATAAAATGAATATTCTTTATAGAAGTATCTCATAAAACCGATCCTCGTCAATGGACAACAGTTGATCTCGATAATTATCGTTTTTCATGTAATGGTCAACAGAAATATTCCGGTTGGCAAATGGTTAAATTAGGTACATATAATGCATTAATTGGACAAACAAATTATTATGATTCAAATGCGATAACATTTGAAGAATCTCATATTGCTTTTAAAAGATCATTAGGTGAAGGTTTTGCATGGGAAATTGTTGAACTTTATTCTGGTCCACCAACAATTACATTTACATGGAAACATTTTGGTCGAATGACAGATTATTTTTCTTGTCCAGGTTTATCTGGTTTGGTTTATAAAGCTGATCCAACTAATAAAATGGTTAAAATTTATGGAATGTGTAAAATTACTGTTAATGAAAATTATCAAATTCAAGATTTACAAGTTTTTTATGATCCAAATCAATTATTTACACAATTAACTGAAATTTGTCCATTTGCACCATTTATGAAATTACCAAATAATAATCTTACAAAAAATAAAGCAAATGAAAAAGAACAAAATAATATTCTTCCATTTTCTACTAACAAAAATTTAAAAAATGAAGATTACGTTAAGAATTCAACAAATCCTCAATCAAAAATGTGTACTATTTGTTAAACGAACATTCTCTTTTTTTTTGTTTTTAAAATAAAACAATGGATTTTAATATATTTAATATGAAAATTTTCTTTGACAAAAAAAATATTTTTTTCTGGATGTTTTTATAAGTACAAATTGCAGATTTTAATTTCCACTTGTATGAGAGTGATCGTTATTTTCTTCCTTTCATTCTCACATGAGAACAAATCAAAATCTGCAATTTTTATGTACAAAATATATAGAAAAAAACATTTTCAGGTTGCACTAGAGGAGACTAAAATTTTTATTTCCCCTTGGAAAAATTTAAATTGCCCTGGATTCCAATTTTCACTGCGTCACATATATATATATATAGTTTTAAATTAATTTATAAGTGTGATATAATAATAAGTTATTCAACTAAAGAAAAATAACTAATTTACTAATGTTTTTTTTTAATATTAAAGTCAAAACAGACGTAGAGAAGTTGACTGATATTGAAATTTTTTTAAAAAAATCGGATTGGCAGTAATGTTTAACGTTTGTTATGTGTCTTTATTAATATTTATTTGTATAAAACTAAGAATTTATTTCAAATAGAATTAATAAAATAAATAATTTTACTTCGATTTCTTAATACTTCTTTAAAGATAACTTGAATATTTTAAAAGAATGAAATATATATTAGTTATAAAATATAAATGATTATTTAAATAACAAGTTTATTTTGTCAATAAAAAATTTAATAGAAATAGAAAATAAAGGAATAAATTGATTTGTTAAAGATAATTCTTTATATTTTATGGATAAATATGTCGCAATTAATATTTTAGGAAAAGGTTTTAATAATTGTTGATCATCATTTAAATTATTAGGTAATTGATAAATATTTTTAATTAAACGTTCGCTTTCATTTAATTCATGTGAATCTTTTTTGGTTTAAAATTTTAAGTGAGATTTACGTATTTTTAATTCCTAAACGTCTAGCAATAAGGAGGGTGAATATGCGTGTGGATGGGTAAAGAAAGGAGAAACCTACACCCACACCCTAAAACAATATATTTGTTCACATTTTAGTACATTTGGCGAAAGATTACTACGAATCGAATTATCAATAGCATAAACCGAAAATAATGTTTCTGCTTAATGCTTTATCTGTTTATTTTAATAAACATGAACATTTAAATACAATTGCTTTAAATATAGATTTGAACAAGTCAGTAGACGTTAATTCACAAAATAGAGTAAATGAATGTGGCTGTGGGTATAGAAATAACACACCCACATCCTTAATGCAACAGAAGTTTTAGGAGGTCTTTCGTCACTGATTGAAAAAATGAAAAACTGATGTGCTAGTCAATTATTACATCGTATCTTGTCGCTCTAATATTATTAAATAAAAAAGTTCATTGTATTTCAAAGAAAACTTATTATCATATTCGACATTTTCCTTTTCGACGATTTCCTTTCGATATTTTTCTCTTTGATAATTTTTTCGACGTTTTACTTTTCGATCTTTTCCAGCAAGATCGATTTATTTTTACCTCTTTGCTTGTAAGCTAATAAATTTCGATAATAAAACAAAAAAAATGTCTTAATAGAGCTTGCACATTTTATTATGAATAAACATTCACTTACAACTTTGAGACAAATAATATGTTCCTTTCGAAAATGCACCATGTAAAACACTATGACGTTTAAAAAGACCTTCTGAAAACTTGAAGCTAAATGGATAAATGTACAACAACATTGACAAACGTATTTCTCCGATCTAGAAATGACGATAATATAAACTTTCCAACAAACAGAAATTTTGAAAATTAAATGATTAATCCAATAACACACAAAAATATTAGGTAACTTAATCGCTATGCAAACTTTTACTTATCACATACTTAAAAGGAATAAGTAATAGAGGTAGTGATTGAAAAAGAAAATTGAAAATAAATGATGAAAAAACTAATCTTATAATTGATTTCAATGCTATGAATACTATTAGTTTCTGCGCAATGCTTCACACCTTTTTGTCGTGTGAAGAGGTGCTGTAGGCGTTAAGCTCCAAATCTGACGTATTGTTTGTGTGTATCTTGGAAGTATTACTAATTAGATATTTTGAATGGCGTGATTCCACTGCAAAACAATTTTGTAAAAACGTGATACGAGTGTATAAAAAGGATTGATCGATCCGCTTTATTCACAGTAAAAATAGTCGAACTCCAATCACATCAAACAAATGCATAACGCAATGATTATACAATTGGCTGTCGCTTTATGCCTAATTATGTTTGCTCATTGCCAGGTATAAATACCAGTAGACTAATACTTTTTAAGTTTGATTTCAAGTTTATCTTTACATAGAACAATGCGCATTCAATTTCATGTCATCATTCAGCTCGCGTTAATGAGTGTGCAGCTGATAATTGTAGACAAGTTAGCGTTGTACTCAAAAATAAGAATTATTCGTGTGATTGTTACGTCATTGGAGAACCGAGTATATTACACCAACATAGTCCTAAGTGGTATCGGATCAATCTACTAGATGGTAAACATGGTTATGTCAACAGCTTTTATTGCGTGGGCCCTGTTACCCATTGTAAATAGGCCACGCAATTGAAACTTCACTAATTTTAATCGAAAACATTTTTTGAACACTTATATATTCTATTATAATCCGAAAATATAATTAATCTCGAATTCTTGAGGGTATGGGTGTGGGTGTAGATATACTAAGATATATCTACGTTCACATCTACACTACCCTTATCATAGAAGCGCTGAAATTAGCAAAAATGCAAAATTTATAGGATCTATACACTGTTATTCTATGGTAGAATATGGACTGATTCTGAGGACTGATACAAAATGTAGGCGTACAGAAATGTAATTCTATCACGCACTTAATTGATTATAAAGCAATATAATAGCTTATATTTGCTATTCAAATTGTTTTTTAAAGCTTTTTTGATTGATGATTAAATGGATTTAAAAAGTTAGATTCCAACTCATTTTCAAAGAATATATTTAGTTCCAATCTGTCCATTAATACAATAATTTGAAAACTTAAAATCGACAATGTTTTATTCAATATTTTTCTTGACAACTCTAAGTATAGCTGTAGATTTAAGCTATGCTAAATGAATTAACGTTGCATTTGTATCTTGTTCAGTCTATCTATCCTACGCATAAAGCCGAATTAGTGTGGAATATATAACGTTACTCCATTGCGTAATCAAGAAATGTGTTGTTGCCTTTACGGAAAAGTACAAGTGAAAGGGATAACTTATTTTCTCATGACAATATCTGGCAAATTAAACAGATCAATATAATGGGTCTTCGACATTCTTTTTATCTTAAAGGTGTAAGAGTGTGGCTGGATGAATGCGGATGAGGGTACATATAAGATTTGAAGAACGAGAGTATCTACACCTACATCCACATACACACTCGACACTCAGCTGCTCATACCCACACTCATCCTACGTATATTGACAATCTGCTTCTTGTTCTTTCCTCTCATATAGCTTAATCGTTTGTTGTTTTTTTTCCTTCTATTTGTTTTTTTGATTCACTCTCATATCAAAATATTCCAACTTAATTAACTATTTTGTTTGTCGTATTACGAAATCTTTATTTCCAAAAAAACATACAAATCTAATGAAACAAATAATGATTTAATATCTTGAGGGTGTGGGTAGGTGTTGTTGTTAGTTGATGCGGTATGGGGTGGGTGTGAGCTGTACGTAAGATTAACCACACCCACACTCACCCAAAGGCTATCAAGAATATAAATTCATTTTTACAGTTTATCTCTTATATATTCTCTTCTATTATAAATTATCAAGATGAATAAAATGTTACTGCACAAACATATGAAATTCTTTTATTTTACTCTCAAGTTCAATCTCACTTTTCTTCATTATATCATTTCTAAACTATTTCAAATATGAATCATAATAAACGACAACAAAATTCTAAGAGTAACAATGACTGCAAGCATAATAAGAAGAAAAAGTTCCATCGTATTTCTTATTTAGTTAAATTAGTCTATACGAACAAGTCAGTATATAAACAATACATCGATTTGAATCTCCTATAGTATTTCATTTCATTAAGATATGTTGTCACTCAGTTTTTGAATATCTTGATGCTTATCGTATTTATGAAAGTTTTTTTAATCTTAATAGACGATTTCAAAATCTTCTTACATATTTAACTATTCCTCTTAAAATTAGAATTTCATTATGTTTATCAAAATTATTATAGTGGTTTTATTCAACCAAATATTCATAAAATTCAATCACTTTATCTATCAAATTCATTTATGATTGATTTCTTTTCATTAACAACACAAAATATTTGCAAATTTTTACAACTTCAAACACTTCTTGGTAATATTCAATCACAACAACTCGAAAATCTTCTAATCGGTTTAACTTATTTCTCAAAATGTTCTTCTTTAACTATTCATATTATTGATGATACAAATTTAACTAATATTTTTAATTTAATATTTCAAGTACCATTATTAAGATGTTGAAAAATATCTTTTGCAGAAACTATTCGACTTAGATCATTATCTATATCTACATCCAGTTCAATCGAACATTTTGTTCTTATTAGAAAACTCTACATAAATGAGCTTGATCTTATATTATCACATCTTCCTAATTTATATCGTTTATCAATAAGGGATATAGTTTCGAATGAAAGAATCGAAGATAATCTATATGTTTTAAATAATTTAACTATCGTCTCTCTCAAATTCAATCAAGTTAAATTTGATCATTTAGAACAATTTATAACAGAAAACATTTTCATCAAATTTATAAATCATATATTTCAACAAAATATGATGAAACTTACATTAATAGTAAACGATGAGAACAAATCATTGATAATTCTTTATTTTGGTCTCAACGACAATAGTTTTTTACATTAGAATTACAGAACGAAAGTCCTCGATAGTCTTCAGCGGGAGATTTTCTTTTTTTACTCAACTCGTTCATATGCGTAAATTAATGATGTTAATTGAATGTTCTTCTGATATCTTAAGACGAAAATATTATACATTATCCTGTTATATCTTTTCGAAAAAACATACAACTTATGAATAAACTATTTTTGATTCAGTTCAACATCTCATTATTCGAAATACTTTCCAAATGTCAATGAATTAACTATCGCGTATCGTGATGATCCGTCTTTGCTAAAGTGGTTTATAACTAATAACATTTGTCGTATTCTTCCTATAACACAAGTGACGAAACTCACCATTCAGATAACAAATTATTTGAACTAGATCATTAAACTGCTATCTTTGATGCCTAATATTTCTCGATACATCTGAACGACGTCTTCGAGCAGTTGTTCGTTTTTTATTATCGGAAACAAGTCAAAACAATTATCATTTATCTTCTTGATGTATTACTGGAGTGAAGGGTTTGATGAAAAATGCTGAAAATGAAAATATTGAAAATAGAATTTTTCTATGAGGATGTGGATAAAATAAAACATTTACATCTTCACCCACACCCGCTTTTTGAGAATGTCGGTACAGAAATTGCAGAAAACTGATACCCACAATTCATTCATTTTTCTTGGTTTTTGTTAATATAATAGGCAAAGTCGTAGCTGACTTTCTTAACTCTACTAAATAATTCATTGATAATAGGTAATCAAACTTATATATATACATATTAATAATCGAATAAACAAACATAACTCTATTAGTATGAATAACAAAATATTATTCATTTAAATATACGAATGTGTCTTTAAGATTAAAAAAAGAATCTTTTCTGCATTTAAACGCTTTATTTTACAACAAAAGAACAATAAATATGTTCATAGTTTATTTTTTACATGTTCAAGATTTTTTTTATATAATTCAATATCAGGATGATTAGAAGGTAGTGAATGTTCGACAATTTCAAAAGCTCGTTCGCAATATTCAACAGCCTTTGAACGATCACCCATATGAGAACATACCATTCCTATTTGCCCGATGGAACAAGCTAAATCATGATGATCGGGAAGAAGTGTTTTTTGACGAATTTCAAGTGCTCGTTCATGATATGAAAGTGCTTTTGGATATCTACCTAAATTTTCATATACACTTCCGATATTGTTGTAACAAGCAGCCAAATTAGGATGATTTGGAGAAAGTGTTTTTTCATAGATTTCCAATGCTTTCTTATAATATGAAAGTGCCTTTGGATATTCTTCTATACTTTCATATATACCCCCGATATTGTTGTAAGACGTAGCTAAATCAGGATGATCTAACGGAAGAACTGCGCGATTTATAATAAGTGCTTTCTCATAATACGAATGCGCTTTTGAATAGTCATTTATACTAGAATATACTGAACCGAGACCATTGTAAGAAGCGGCAAGAGCAGATGAATTTGGTGAAAGTATTTCCCGATTGATTTCAATTGATTTTTCATATCGATCAATGGCTTCTTGATATTTTCCTTGATTATTTTTAATTATTCCTAGCATATGATTTAAATGTGCTTCTTCACCTTTCTTTGCTACTTTTGTAAGTAATAAATAATATAGTTGCTCAGCTTTATCATACTGATCTAGTTGAATTAATAATGCACCTAATCGATACCATCCTTTATAACCAGACAATGTTTCTTTTCGTATATGTTCCGTTAAAGCACATAATTGTGGATCATTATCATTTGTTAATGTTAATTCTACTTGCCAGAGACGATTATTAGTTTTATCGATTAGTTTCATTGATCCAATACGAAAGACGGCATGTATAGAAAAGAGAATTTCTTCTTTACGATGAACACTAGCATTATGAATATTAGCAAAAGGTGTTGATGATTTAGATGGATCAATTTTCATAATAAAAAGAATACCTATTGGATGAGAAGTTTCAATACTTTGTCGAGCAAAAGCCAGAGATACATTTCGATCTTTACTTGTGGATAAAAAACTATGAAAAGATAATAATCCACCGTATCTTTTCGCCAATTGATCAAAATCTGTCTGAGATAAACCTTGACCACGATAGACGATAAAATTTTTCGATTGATGATGGTCACCATATTGTTCGTAATGAAGGTCAGCAATATGTTGATGAAGATCTCGAATAAAGAAGCCCAATTTAATGATTAGATCAATTTCCATTGTATGTAATGCTTTATTCAACATAGAGCAAAGAAAACAATTATATGTATACCACCAGATTGGTTGATGATATTGATATTCTTTTTCGATTTTATCGACATTTCTCAATTCAATATTATTATCGGCAAAGTATTCTCGACAAAATATAAGAAAATCATTAAAATATTCTGGTTCGAAATCTATTGTCAGTAGGATTTCTTTCAATAGTTGAGTATACATAAACGATCGATCAAGTTTATTTAAATTTATATTTGAAGTGTCATCAATTGTCTCGATAAAACTCATAGACTCAGAATTTTGATCATAATCTTGAGTGGCTTGTGTAAGTGATTCATAGATCAATGAAATATCTGTGAATACTCCTTTCACTTTAGGCCATTGTTGTGTCCATTGCTCATGTAGAGTTTTGTTTCCACAAAAAATATAAATGTCACTTATCTGTGCCTTATCATGAATGATTGGAACAATTGTGTGACCGAGGGCTCCGGAAGAAACTAAACAAATTTTTTTATCTGTACTATCATTAATAAATGCAATACATTCATCGACATCGGTAAATGTTTGTATATCATTTATAACCTGTCGTAATTGTACAATGATATTCATACAATCAATATCATTCACTTGGCCAATATTCTTATCTAACCATATAAGACAAAAATTTTGAATAATATCTTCATAAGACACTTGATTTAGTAGTAATGTAAATTTGCTTTCTGAATTGTTAGATTCCTTCCTTACACATTTAGTAAATATATCAATAATTATCTTCACTATGTTCATATAGCTTGTTGAATTAGAAGAATAATATTTTTACTATTTTTCTTCGTATAGTAAAGCAAAGTATTTGTTTTAATGATTGGTTGACTATCAAACACTTCCTTTTCTGTCATAAAACATAATTTTTTGTATAAAAGTATATCGTAGGTGAAAAAAAGAAGAAGAAAAAAACGTGTATGTATATATCTACGACAACAAAAAATACTCATGTATTTTGTTTCTGTCAATAACAAGAACGACAAATATGTCAATCAAACGATACAAAATAAAGATTCACCTGTATTTATTTTAATTATTTATATGATATCTTTCAAAAGAGAAAATAATTAGGAAGTAAATGTGTTTCGTCTGAATATTTGATATTTTATTTTTCTCAAGTTTAAAATGTACAAATAGAATAATTTATCTCTTTCAATATTTTTCCTAATAAATACTATTGAATAAAACATCGAAGAAAATCGTTTCAGGACGAACATTAAAATAATGTAGTAGTTCATAAATCAAAATTAATGGCTGTTCTAATAAAATATTACAGTAGTCGATATGAAATTTCTAGATAGTAATTTAGTTTACATAACTTACAAAAGTGTATTTATAGAAAATAAGCAATTCTTTAATAATGTAATTATTTATTCTTTTATTTAGTATAAAATATCCGTTGACAATGACTTCAATTTAAAAATAATTAAAAACTCGATATAATACTTTTTTTCCTCTTGATATTCCTATATTGGACCATTTGGTTATATATGATGATATCGAAAGCATATCTCCATTTTGAAATTGAGTGAATTAAGTGAGAAGAAGAATATTTTCTTTATCCACGAAGTCATTTTATTTTAAAAAAATAGCTATTCATATCCATTCTATTTAGATACAAATAGGAGTGAGAGAGAGAGAGATGAACAGAGGAAAATAAGGAGAAGAAAGAGACTGATCGATATGAATACTTCTTACTTCCTGCCAAAACGAAGAAAAATAAAGAAGATGTTGTGATACACCTTCTTTTTAATTGTGCAAGAAGTAAACAAAAATGTAGAATCAAATAAGGAAAAGAAAGATGCGGATGAACAGTATGATGGTCATGTGGGAAATAGAAGTGAGAGAAAAAGATCAAAAATGTTAATTTAGCAACAGCAAACCTTGGCACATGATCTTTTAACGGTGACAGTTTTCTTTCGGATGACTTTGCAACATGGTTTGCAGCAGCACACAGTTTTAGTTACACAACATTTTGGACCGCAGCAGCAACAATCACAACAGCAAGGATCACAACAAGAGCAACAGCATGGATCACAGCATGAACCACAACCGCAACCACAACCACATCCACAACCGCATCCACATCCACAACCGCAACCACATCCACATCCACAACCACAGCCTGGCATATTAATAGTAATAATGTAGTGAAGAATAAAACGAGAGTAAGATAAGAATTGATTTGTGAAACTATGAGAATAGGTGTGGGTATATATATAGAGGGAGAGAAATGAACAAAATTGTTTTCAGTCAACAACAACAACAACAATTCACTACTGTCTTCGCATGACAATATTTAATATGTACATGTCATAGAAAAATATATAGGGAGACATAAGTAACTCTTTGTTACTATTGATGCAATATAACAAAAACATGAAATTTACACTTGTTACCAATGTTTTTCCTTTGATTTATTTTGATAGTATATAGAAAACATCTAAATTTAATTTCACATTCACCTTGTGACCACAACTCTCAAAAGGTAAATGTCATTCGATACACCTTTTCATAGAAAATATTGATTCTTACGTTATAGTACGCACACCGTAATATCACCAAATTACGTCGATATCATAACACAACACAAGAAAGAACATTGAGAACAATATGTAGTACATGAATACAATGAACATCTTGTGAAAATTAAAGATGGTCTTTTCATACAAAATCATCTGTTTAGCAATACTTTAGTTCAAATATGATATCCGCAATTATATAATTGTATGTCTTCTCATCATTCATCTTTCACTATCTCTCTTCTTAGATTATGATAATGGAAGAACGTTGTAGAAAGAGATAAATATCGTATTTCATATATATAAGAATGAATCGAATTGTTCATAATTATTAAGTATAATATAAATAGAGGAAATCTTGGTATCCCTACTTATAGATGATCAGTGAATAGATGGTATTCTATAGATTTATCATGCTAAGAAAAATTAAAATATTCTTAGTTATATACAATCATGTCTCACTAACGAATATTGTTTGTTGAGGGTATGAATCACATTAAGACATGAAAACCATTTACACCCTCAAATATCATCTTTGAAGTAGGATGGATGAGTGTGGATGAGACTTATACTTCGGCCACAGCCACCACTCACACACTCAACGAATTATGATTTTCTTTGTTTTAAAGTATACACAGGAGAAGCAACATGAATAGTAACCTGTTATCTCATCAGTATGATAAAACAGTAGAGGTTTACAGGTATTACATTTTCGTTTAGACCATATTCTATCTTATCAATAAAGGTAGACTTTTTTTGAGTATTGCGTTGTGCTAATGAATTTCATCTGTATCCTTTTTCTATCAAGTTTTCTACTTGTTTCAAGCAAGCAAGTAGTTATTTCTAATGTTATTCCACGATTAGATACAAATGGATCCTATGTAGATGCACATGATGGGTGTTTAGTTAAATTCAATAATACTTATTTCATGTATGGTACAGTTTACGGTAATTGTCATCAAGCAACAACCATTTGTGATGCTGTATGTGGTTATTTGAACAATACGTTTGCTTTATATATTTCAACAGATCTCGTCAATTGGACATTGAGTAGTAATAATGTTGTTCCTGAAGTTACTACAGATCATAACTACATTAATTATTGGATGCCAAATGTTGGTTATAATCGTCATACTAATCAATATGTTATGGTCTACTGGTCAAGCAAATATGGATTTAAAAATTCCATGGTTGCTCTTGCTGTTTCTTCAACACCTTTTGGTCCTTTCATGAATGTTCCACCTTTAGTGATGCAAGGAGGAACAGTAATCAGTAGTACTACTGGCCTATTCGTTGACGATGATACTACAGCTTATGTTCGATATAATACACGTGATTCACCTTTGAGACATGTAATAGAAAAACTTTCACCAGATTGGATGACAAGTACAGGGCAATTCTCTATTATTTTTGAGAAAGAAGATTATCCATGGTATGAAGGAGGCGGTGTCTTCAAAAGAAAAGGTATCTACTATACGATGTTAGGTGTTGATTGTTGTTTTTGTCAATGGGGTGGAGATGCGCGAACATTTATCAGTACTAATCCTCTTGGTAATTGGACTTATCTCAGCGAATTAGATTATTGTGCTGATGGAAAAGCTCCACCAGATCATATAGATGGTCAGAATATCAATCCATGCTCACTTAATGATCCGTATGGAACAAATTTCACAGTTCCTGCGCAACAATTCAATGTAGCTACTTTACCGATATCATCAGACGAAACTTTATACATGTACTATGGAGAAAGATTTCGTTCGAGTGACGATGGAATCAAAGGTCATGATTTCCAAGCTTGGATACCAATAGAATTTATGGAGAATGATATTCCAAAACC